AGAGAAGACTGTGCCTCCTGTATATGGATTTATTAGTGTGTTATATCTTGTCACAGGTGGATAGATTGATTGTAGCATGTTCTCTGGTATATTTTGGAGACATTGAGTTAAAAACCTACATCTGGATTTTCAAATCCTAATTAAACCATGGAAGGATAAGGAGCTATCACAGAGAGATAGGAAGTGGTAAGAAAAGGTGAAAAGTCTGCCAACCTAAGAGTATTTTTTTTTTTACAGAAAATAATGTGGGTAAAAATATCAACTATTGAGAACAAAAAAAGTTCTCTTGAAAATTCTAGTGCCCCAAGAAATAATCACAAGACATGCAAAGAAAACAAAAATGATGGCCCAGCCTAATGAGCATGACCACCTAATGGACATGAGTTATGTGTCTACCTAAATATGAAGATGCTTCAAATAATTAATTGAAAAAACCATTATCTTTTCATTCCATTTTCCATGAACTTTCTGAAGCCCCCTTATGTATTTCCTAAGGAACTCTGGTAATGTAGTTGTTATGAGACAGGCTGCTAACCTCAAGGTCAGCAGTTTGAAACTACTAGCCATTCCATGGGAGAAAGATGAGGCTTCCTGCTCCTGTAAAGATTTACAGCCTCAGAAACCCTATGCAAGGTCGCTATGAGTTGGAACCAGCTCCACAGCATACCACCACCACCATATATTTCCTAGTTTTATCTGCTGAAAAGGCCTAGAACCAGTGATACCCCAGTTATATTGTGCACACCTCATATAACACCCTAGTTATAGGGAGCACACCTAGTACCCAAATCTTGCTTTCTAAATGCCATTCTCAATCAAAGGAAACAATGCTCCTAAGAGAGAAGTAGTTGTTTCTAGGACTGGGGCAGGGAAGATACAAGAAGACCCTGGAACATCTTGTGGCCTTAAAAAAATAAAGAACTACTAAAAAAGGATGGACCACGTGGAAGGGATACAGGAGCCAATCTGAAAGTGGCCAAAGCTGGAACAAAAATAGATGTCATAATATTCTAATATGAGTCAAAGAATGAAATATCTGCGAGTCCATTCTGATATAAATAAATAGTTGAAAAAAATTTGGAGACACAAGACAAATCTTCCTTATAGAAGAATTTTAATTAATAAATTCGAAGGAATAAAGGAAAATCCAAATCATTATTAGGCAGACACCACAATGATAATTGTTTCCAAACACAATCTACTGATGAATGGTAAAATCAGAGAACAAAAGTTTAAACAGAAAAAGGGTATTTGCACAGTTTCAAGGACTGTTTAGTCAGTTCTGACTCATAGCAATCCCATATACAGCAGAAGAAAATGCTGCCCAGCTCTGTGCCATTCTCAAAATTATGATTATTTTCTTTCCTTCTTTCTTTCTTCCTTCCTTAGCCCTTTGTTGTAATCACTGTGCCAGTCTATCTCATTGAGGGTCATTCTTTTTGTTGTTAGGTGCTGGTGAGTCACTTCCAACTCATAGCAACCTTATGCACAATAGAATAATACACAACCCGGTCATGAACCTCCTCACAATTATTGTTAATCTTGAGCCCATTTTTGCTACCACTGTGCCAATCCATCTCATTGGGAGTCTTCCTCTTTTTTGTTGACCCTTCATTTCACCTAGTATATGGTTCTTCTCGAGGGACTAGTCCCTCCTGATACCATATTGTCTGAAGTATTTGAGAGATGAAGTCAGAACATCCTGACTTCTAAGAAGCATTCTGGCTGTACTTCTTCCAACACGGATTTGTTTGTTCTTCCAGCAATTCATGGTGTTTTTAATATTCTTCTCCAACACACTAACTCAAATGCATTAATTCTTCTACCATCTTTCTAATTCAGTATCCAATTTTCACATGCATATGAAGCTATTGAAAATATCATAGTTTGGGTCAGGAACATCTTAGTCTTCAAACTGATATCTTTACTTACTCTTGAGCACTTCAAAGAGGTCTTGTGTAACAGATTTTCCTAATACAATATGTCATTTGATTTCTTCACTGCTGCTTCTGTGAGTGTTGAAAGTGACTCCAAGCAAAATGAAATCTTTATCAGCTTCAATCTTTTCTCCACTTATCATGATGTTATTTATTAATCTAGTGGTGAGGATTTTTGTTTTCCTTACATTGAAGCACAACACATTACTGAAGATTGTGGTCTTTGATCTTCATTAGTTAGTGTTTTAAGTGCTCTTCACTTTCAGCAAACATCTACGTATCGTTGGTTGTTAATGAGTCTTCTTATTAAGTATTATGTCTGTATTGTTGGTAAGTTCATTTATGAAGATGAGGAAAGGAATGTATTTCTTCTGACCTATTTTTTTTTTTTCTGTTTTCCCAGGGTCGTTATGGATGCTGTCGCTTTCTAAGAGATGGATATAAAACTCCTAAAGAGGTAGGTTTCTTACCCCCAAAGTGTGCCTAAGGCAGAATGGTCACTGCTATATTCAGCCTCATTCAAAGAAAATAATCAACTATTTGAGGGTAGTTATATACACTCGATCTTATAGCAAGATCTTTGAAGCAGCGAGATCTTCGAAACAGCGAGATCTTCGAAGCAGCTAGGTCTAACCAGTACACTGCCAGGCCTTGCTCCTTCAAGATGGCAGATCGAGTACACATGTAATGAGGAGCTCGGTCAACAACAACACGGAACACTGGGCCAGAGGGCTCATGAGATAGTGCTGGAACTCTGAAACAAATATAAAGGTATGTTTGGAGGATCGGAGGGTTTACAGTCGGGGAATTTGAAAGGAATCCAGAAATTCATTGTTTTCTGGATCAAGACACTCAGCTTGTTCCAGGAGCCGCCATCTTGGGAGAGGACATCTTGATTGTATCAGGATTGATAGTATCAGGAGAGAACATCTTGATTGTATCTTGATTATATCAGGATTGACATAGAAATTTAAAGTGACAGTATCAACATAAAACCAAACGGCCACCACTCATCTGTCTGTCATGCTGTGGTGGCTGGGTTGCTGTGATTCTGAGGGCTATGCCACCAGTATTTTAAATAACCGGCAGGGTCACCCATGGTGGACAGGTTTCAGACGAGCTTCCAGACAAAGACAGACTAGGAAGAAAGAGTGACAAACTACTTCTGAATTGTTAGTCACTGAAAACTCTATGAATAGAAGAGAAACATTGTCAGATACAGGACCGGAAGGTGCGAAGGCCCTCAGAATGCAACTGGGGAGAAAAAATGTCTCCTCAAAGTAGAGTTGACCACGATGACGTGAATAGAGTTAAGCTCGGGGGAGAAAAGCGCACAGAACCTTCATTTGCTGATAGGCCACAACTCAAAATGAAGAGAAATAGCTGTAAACATCCACTGAAAATCGGAACATCGAATGTACGAAGTATGAATCTGGGAAAAGTGGAAGTTGTCAAAAATGAAATGGAACGCATCAACATCGATACCTTAGGCATTAGTGAGCTGAAATGGACTGGTATTGACCATTTTGAATCTGACAA